GAGAGAGAGAGAGAGAGAGAGACAAGGAGCTTCTTGCTAAGGCGTTTTATAGGTGACGTACTGTCTTACGCGGGGTGCTCTAGGCCCACTCACAGGCTTGTTCGCATCCCAAAATGACATTTCTCCTGCAGTCCCTCTTCAGTTTCCCCTGCCCCGCCTCCGAGGTGAGGCTGAGAAGTCTGGGGTGTGTGTGTGTGTATGATGGGAGACGAGGAGGGAGGTTTGGAAAGAGAAAGAGGGGGGGAAGGAGAAGGGGGGGGAGGATTAGTTCTTCAGCCGGGAGACCAACGAGGGAGCTTCAGACCCACAGAGAGAAGACCGAGGGGTGGGAGCTGCGGAAAGAGACCCTCCCTTTGGGGTAGGGGGTCTTGGATCGCTTGGAAGAGGAGAGAGAGAGGATCATTGCACCGCTTCTGCAGGGTAAGATCTTTGACTTTCTCATTTCTGGAGATACATATATATATATACTATATACTATATATTCCACCTCCGTCTATTCTCTTCCCTTCCCGAGACGGAGGGCTCGTCCCTATGCCAATGTATCTGAAACTCTCGGGATGGAGAGGCCGGCGTGGAGCCAGCTTTGGAGTTCCGAAGGCCTGAAATAGGCGTGTACGTGTAAGCGTGGGGAACAAAAACGCGTCAAGGCGGTTGATTGACTCTGACCTGTCACCTTAAATGCTGGGTTTGGGCCACCCATGGTTACCCCCATTTCCCTCGTCAATTCCAGTTTTCTTTTTGGGGGGTGGGGAGGGAGATGACCACCCACTGGCCCATCCTCTCCGCCTGTTTAGATCACAACCGGTTGAAGTGATTTTGAGGTCGTGGGCAACAACTTATTTTTTTTCAACATTTTCCAATCTTTGTAGTACGTAGAGAAAGGCGAGGCTGCCATTCGGAAAAATCGGCGGCAATATCCGTCTCTGGGAGCACTGATATGATATATGATAGGATATGATTTATTTAAACATGCATTAAGCTTCTGGTCGTGTTTCCCTGGGTGTAAGGGGAAGGAAGGGGGCCTGGGCTTCCATTCCCCACCCGCACCCCCCTCTGCACCGACACACCTTGCTGCCTTAAGGATGCTGGAGGTGAGCCTGCCGCCCCTTTGAATTCTGCCGCCCGAGGCAGCCACCTAGTCGACCTCTTGAGTCGGATAAAAGCCCGGCCCTGCCTCAGATCCAGCTGTATTCGGACGTTCTCTTTCTCATACACGTGTGCACACCCCCACACAGAATCCCCCCCTCTTGCTGTCAACGGTCTGCAGACAATGCCCTGGTGTTCTCGGTCAGTCCGACTCAGGTGGAGACGCGAGCCAGAGAGAGCCAATCGGGGCTCCTCAGGATGGAGACTCGCAGAGTGTGAGGCTTTGGAACCCCCAAACCCGTCCCCCTCCTCACACACACACACACACACACACACACCCCTGGTCTGGGAAGTGACTTGCAATCTTTTAGGAGTGGGGCAAAGAAGTTAGGGCTTGTTAAAATGGGGAGCACGTCCATCACTCGG